CTCTCTCTCTCTCTCTCTCTCTCAAACAGATGGAGTCAAATCTTTGAATCAACTTTCAACAGCCATAGACAACCTAACTCCGTTGCAAAGTCAAGAAGAAGGAAACATAGCTCGTCTGTACACATATTTCAGTTCATTTGGTCAAAGTGGAATGAGTCCATCAGCCATCAATCCTTTTACGCCCTCCTCCTTCTTCTTCTTCTTCACACCCTTCGTGCTTCTGAACAAGTGAGATCACAAGAACAGTTTCCATCTTTGACTTGGCACCTGACCGACTCCATTGATTCCTCGCTCATGCGTGCATGTCTTCCTTGACTTGCAGCTTCCTCAAACCACACCATAGCGCTTACCTTCTTGGCAACCTTCCTTCCGCAGCAGGAGGAGGGGCGGTTCCTCCCTCCTATGCTCGACGTCCCCACGTGTTCGACGTAAAAAGTACTCCACAATTCTCATCTCTGCAGTGACCGTCTCGATCAACATTTGGTAACGCAGACTATGACCGGTAAGCTGTCTGCAAGCTCACTGCGGCTCGGCTAGCTTATGATCTGATGCAGATTAATGGTCGAGCAGGACACAACCTAATTCTCATTCTACAGCCGGCCGGCGACCAGCTCGCAGCATGGTGTTGGCCACTGAGCAAGCATAAAGCGAGGAGGTTTGACCCATCGTACCATGCCCTCCACCTCCACCTCCCATCCTAATTGTCTTTGTCTTTGTCCTCATCTTTCCAACAGCTGTAAGGTAAGGTAATGGAGCACACTGCTTTGGACCTTTTGCGATGAGTTGAACTCCATTGGCCTTTCCTGAATCCAGCCCCGAATGATATGCTGTTCCGTAGCAAAGTAATCGACCCGGCTGACCACTGGTGGAACACAATATGACCTGGAACATCTGACATTGCAGATACAGCTGATGACTCCCAAGTACTCTCGATCGATCCAAATTTGGCCTCACCAGGCACAGGAATTAATAGATGATCTGGTTCTGCAGCAACTTGGGTCATTTCATTTTTTTCTGAATCAAATGTACTGTACTGTACTGTACTGTAGCAGCATATCAAAGGACTTGAAACAGTTGCACATATAAGAGGATAGCAAGTTGAGACAATCTCATCTTATGGCAAGCATATCCTCTGGATTCTATATACATTCCCAAGTCAAAGCCAAAAGACACAGCAAACATTAGACCATGAGTTTCATATGCTGAAGCATTAGGCCTCAGTCGTCACGGTCAGATCCACAACCATCTCATTTTGTTCTACCAGAACAAATCTCAAATCCAATGCTTTAGGATTTCCTGGACTCGGTAAAAACATTCAACATGTGATCCAAACTCATGCTACGCTCACATGGTGTCACGATTTGACAAAACTATAGCAGCATATACAGAAGAAATCCATCTTCCATTGACTTGGTTCACCAATATAACAAATTAGAGCATTACAGTATCACACGAGTAATGAAAGCGCAAAATGTCTAACATAAAATCTCATTCTTCATCGATCTTTCAGGATTTGGCACCAAATCGCTCGTGACTGAAACTTGATAAAAACATGTTGTGCTTTCCTCGGTTCGCAATTTCCTGGCTCAGGGTCTAATGACATTGAGATGCAATGTGCCATCCACAAACTCAACCTCCAACATTTCCTGGCTCAGGGTCTAATGACATTGAGATGCAATGTGCCATCCACAAACTCAACCTCCAACATGCATAAGGTTTTAATGTGTTGGTGCTGATGCAACTTCTAGCACATGCCCCACTCCGCATCGCGTAAGTGCAAGTTGAGACAGAGTTCTGAGTTATATCTTTATTCTTTTTCTCCCTTTAGATCTATATTCTCTCTCCATGGTGAACAAAAAAATGGGTAAGCAGCATCTCCCAATTCCTTAAAATAGCAATAGAATGCTGATTTGAGTCACCAAGGCCTTCCACCTGTGAGAACAAGTATCCTTCTTGTGAATCCAAATCCCCTTTTCGTACAAAACATTTTTCACCTTTCCTGCCCAAAATCATAAAGCCCCTCGAACACAGTCAAAATCATGACGCAGATTTCCCTGTTGACTGAAACTTCAACAGCCCCTTCGATTGTACTTGTTTGCTTAATCTTGAGAAAGAAGGAAAAAAAAAAGAGAAAGTAAAGAAGAACCAGATCCACCAGGTAAGATCGGCTATCAAGTTGCTTTCTCTGAAGACCATGACATATACCAAGTCATATAGTGTGTTAAACACCAGAGTTTTGAGAATAATCCAGAGATTCACTAACAAATAACAAATACATAGAGAAAGAGCAAAAAGATTTATCATTAACCCACACCGTTGAGAAACAGCTAGAATGTAATTGCTTTGCTCCAAACGAAAAGAAGAAAAAAGAATATACAATTGTAGGTTACAACAAACAGTTTGAGAAAAATTCGACAGTACACTGTGCAGCCTTCTTCTGTCCCAACAATTCACAAAATGACAAGTCCATCAAGACTTTTAAAGGGAATCATCCTTAAAAGAATTTTAAAGGGATTCCTCTAAGGTGACCAACATAGGTAATAACAAATTTTCCTTCAAACCTATGTGGCCATAGCAAGAATAATTATATATCCAGATTTTAAAAAGGATTTATCAAACATTTAATCTCTGACAGATTGTTCATTTATGTTAGTTCTTGTATTTGCTCAGACAAATCTACATCTTATGCCAAGGATCGTTCTCAAGATATGAGATGTTCTATTATTGCAATCTCTTTAAGACTCTTTTAAGTAAACAAATCAAATTTCCTTGATAACAAAGTTCATGAAATCTTTATTGTTATGAACAACATGCGAATAAAAAAGTTGTCTTCAAAATATACGAGCACTCAACTTTTTGGACAATTTAGAGATCCATAACAGGAGAGAGGTGCATCAATGAATTTCATTACAGGATGCTACAAAATCTTACTGTTACGAACGATTATCCAAAAGAACAATAATTTCTATAACTTGAGCTTATGAGAATTAGGCATCCATAATATCTGTTCAAAGCAAGAGTTTTTTATTACTGTTACTTGATTATGTCTGATTTTATAAATATTGCATGCTATGCATGACCACAAGAGCTAGTCTCCTTGATGCGTACACTTAAATCTAAAGAGAAATAAATCGACACCTCGGCTAGCTTGTCTCACGTTTAATGATTATTAGAGAAAGGCACTCGAATCATTTATATAGACTCCTCATCGTGAATCTTTTATTGTCATACGAACTGACTTTTATGCCTAACTAATTATATGTAAAAGACTTATCAACGTGAACTTTATCTCGGATGTATATCCTATGCCCTGTTCCTAAATGCTTTGAGTCCAGTACAAGTAATACCATGATCTTCCATACATGATGGAGTATTGCCAGATCACAACTTGTTCGATTGTATGGACACAAGGAGTAGGTTATACAGTAGGCAAGAAACTCAGAATCTTTAGTAACTATTCCATTTCTCACATCATCTTGAGTTCATTCTAGGTAGACGAGATGAATATTCCCCCTTAACAGTTGCTCTTCAAATCTTGAGAAAACTTCTCTTTACTAAATATCCACTAGAAAGTTGATCAAGATCAGTTATCACTAAACATATAAGGCAGATACTGGTTAAAGCCGACTCGGACTTCAAGTAGAATTTAAAGTTTGAATTTTTCTCACCGTCGATTCAAGCCCTTTATTCAAAATCGATGCTGAGATGTAACCATATGTTAATTCCATAAAGAGGACGAACGACAAAAGTTCAGGTTCACAATTCTGGAGAGGTATGTCATTGTTTAACAAATGAAGGAACACGATGGCAGAGTTAGAAATTCCATGGTGAATTCCATGCACGCAATGACAACGAGTCCAATCCTTGCTAGAGAGGTAAAGCTTGAACTCAGCAAGAGATGAGCACGATTTAGTACGTTCATATATGTCTATTGAAGTCAGCTCAAGATTTCAATGTCTCGCCAGTACAGACTAAACAGAGAGATCTTACAGCCCATTCCCCGCACCCCCGGGAGGACTGCAGCGCCAGCCGGGGGTGGCGTGGGGCCGAGGGACGTCGAGAGACGGGCGCACACGTGGGGCCCGACGCAACCAAATCCAACCAAACGCAGTGCAACCCAAAGGGTCGACGTCGTCATCCAGAGAGAGCAGAATCTAACGGGTGGGTCACGGACAGCAATGCGCTGTCTCATTGCCGCCAGCTCACTCCCCACTGCCCAGCGCGATCCCATCACCGACCCCGGTGAGCTCACGCGAGTCCGGAACCAGCCCGGAAAGACCTGAGCCTTTCCCCAACCCCAGAGAGAAGACGGCAGGAGCCCCGTCCTCGAGCATCCCATTGAAAAGGGGACGCTTTCTCTTCCCTAACTATTACAAGTAGATTGGATGAGACTCTCTCTTATCCAAGGACCCATGCACTCTCCTTTCTTGATCTCCAATTCGAGATTTCGGTGGATTTTTGGTTTGTTTTCTTCTTGGCAAAGACCGAGAACGAAGCATTTGTTTTGTTTTGATTTGTTCTTTTTGGATCGGCCGACCCCTAAAAGCTGCGAGCTTTCTGTGTCTTTAGTCGCTCTTCAGCAGATGGAAGGAAAGAACCATCGTCGTCCTCACAGAACGGAAACGGAAACGGGAGAAGAAAAAGAAAGTAAGAAGAAGAGAGGAGAAGAGACGAATCGGATTCTACAAACTTTTGCTCGGAATTCCATCAGATTATTTCGACATTTCCAAATTGAATGCCGCCATGAATCACCCAAAACATGTAGGAAGGAAAGGGCAATAAAATGGCTGCTTTGCAGCTAAAATTCCAATCTTCGTATACGAATACCATCCAAAATAACCACCCAACCCCCGACGGAACATCAAGAAATAAAGATGAAAATTTTAGATGAAGGAAGAGAAAGCAGATCTCATACCAGCAGCTGCATTAGAAAGAGCGACGCTATACAGGACACGGCAACCCCATCGCGGACGGCCGCCCCGGACGTAAGCTCCTCTCTGAGGCCCGGCGGCGACGACAGCCTCGCCGGCGGCGTGTCCCAGTCCTCGGCCCCCTGCGGCGGGAGACCCGCCGCCTCCACCGGCGGCGGCGCAGCGGCTGCCGCCTGCATCGCTCCGCTGGTCTCCCCCGGGAAGATCTCCCTCGGCAGTAGCACCTTGGAGACGGCGAATACGGCCACCGGGTTCTGGTCGAACACGGTGCGCGTGATGGACGCCTGGACCACGCCGGTGTCGATGGCCACCGAGCCGTTGACACGCGTGATGTTGAGGGTAAAGCGGCCGGCGCCGGTGTCCTCGGTGGCGAGCGTGGGCTGGACGGGGTTGACGATGGACTCGAGGGAGCCGAGGGGGTAGTAGGAGTGGAGCACGTGGAAGCGGAGCACCACCGCCTTGCGGTCCGCCGGCAAAGACTGCAGCCGCTCGGTGGCCGGGAGATCTGCGAAGGCCTCGTCGGTGGGGACGAAGACGGTGATTCCGGCGCCGCGCTCGTCGGCCTCGAACTCTGCTGCGACGCCCGACGCCTCGAGCATGGAGGCGGCCACGTTGAAGTCGCGGCCGTCGAAGAGGACCCGCGTGATGTTGACCCCGACGGGAGGGCGCGTCTCCGAGGCGGCGAGGTCGAACCCGTAGGGGAGGAGGAGCGCGTTGACGGCGAAGACGGAGACGTTGTAGGGGTGGGTGCCGACGAGGTCGAGGATGGTGGCGTTGGAGGCGGAGAAGGGGGCGGGCGAGCGCGCGGTGACGCCGCCCCCCTCGTCGCGGGTGAGGTTGACGGCGCCGAGGTTTCCGGCGGCCCTGCCGGTGGTCTGGTACAGAGTGGTGACGAGCTTCCCGCCGGTCGGGATGCGGCGGAGGTCGGGCCACGAGAGGTACTCGAGGAGGACGTGGTAGCGGAGGACGTCGGCGATGTCAGAGGCCGCGGCGGTGCGGGCGGCCGAGGAGCGGAGGAGGTAGGCGTTGGGGACGGCGAGGATGGTGAGGGAGGAGCGTCCCGCGAGGTCGCCGGGGACGGAGGTGGAGCTAAGTAGGCGATTGAAGTCGGAGAGGTCGCGGTAGGCTGAGAGCACGGCGGTGATGTTAACCGCCAAAGAAACGGGGTGAGTTATAAGCAACAGGAAAAGCAGGAGGCGGGCAGGGGCAGAGTAGGGAATACGCAAATGCGGGTGGAGAGGAGGCGGAGGAGGAGGAGGTGGTGGTGGAGATGATGCCGCCATTTCAATTTGCTGCGCTTTCTTTCTCCCCACTCCAGTCTCCTGCCCAGTGAGTGCGCGAGAGAGAGAGAGAGAGAGAGAGAGAGAGCCAGAGCAAAGCGAAGTAGAAAGATGTGGGAGATGATGATGATGATCATAATGATGATGCTGGTGGTGATGTTATATATATTGTATGTATTAGAATAATAGTTTTAATTATTATTATCCGTGGAGTGATCCGATCGGATTTGGGGTCCGTTCACCCACCCATCGCACCACCGCTTTGCGTGCCGCCCATGGTGGAGGATGAAAGCCTTGGTCGGGCGACCGGAGGTGACCGCACGAGTGTGGTGCCTCGTGAGGTGTTGGTAGCACCGGGCGACTAGGTGATTTGGTACAAGGTCCGCAACACGGAACACAAACGAAGCCCAATGAATACCCGAAACGGGCGGTCGTGGCAATGACATGTTTTAGCTCGGTAGATATTTAGAATAGATAACTTAGTAGTAAAGCCTACGTTAATTAATGCTTATTTAATAATAAAATTATTTTAATTTCATATTTTGATATTATATAATTTCATATTGTTATATATATTTTGATATTTTTAATGAAAATAGAAAGTGGTGGAAACAATTCATCGGCGAAGGATTCGTCTAATTTAATGCAGCTAAAAAGTCTTGGCTTCGGACCGAAAAGATATAGACGACATTTAAGCATCTATCGGTTGGCCTTTATAAAATGTTTGGGCATATTTCGAAACATAGTAGCGTTTGGAAGTGACAGCGGTTGATTCTTGAAACCGCGATCTAATCTAATCCACCCTCACAGAGGTAACCAACGAACAAAGGGCGCGGTTGGCGGGTAGCTCTCATCTGCCCACTGCTGCTTTCCAAGTGCAACAGCGCGGCGGCTACTGGGATTCATGCAACGTAACACTGTATCCAAGTAGGCCTCTGACTTCATTCATATTTAGAATGAACGAGTCAGACAGTTTCGGTTCTATTTCTCGAACCAATAATTTCGATTTTGGAGTCGACGATTTCGAATCGAAATCATCTTTTTTCTTTATTTTTTTAAAAGAATTTTCATTTGATCGAACCAAAACCAGAGAGGCATTTTTATCGTTGACGGTCGACGACGATCATATGATTGTTTAGATTTCCGATCTTTGTTTGATCTCCTTACTGCTCCCCAAAGGTCAATGGCGTCGGCCTAAGCAAGCAGGCAGCATGATGGCTGATCACGGGCTCACTTTGGGAGCTAGGAAAAAGGCAGCCAAGCGAGTCAAACCCTACGAGATCTTTGGGCACTTCCCCCCCCCGCTATATTAACCCTAGTTTACGAAGCATAGTAACCCTACGTGCTGCTTCGATGGCGGTGCAGTAACCTTCTCCTTATATATGTAGTTTGTCTCGGCAGCATTCGGTCCGTCCATGCTCTGATAATACGTGCATGGAGTAGTTTAGTAATCGGAGGGTGTAGGTTGTTGCATGGAGTAGTTTATTCCTGCCAATTCGCTTCACTTACTTGTCCCGACGTAGACCCGCCTCCGTGTGGGCTCTCCGGCCTCCACTAGCCGAACAGCGGCTACAGCCTGCTTCCAGATGAGTCGGAATGGAGTTAAATGGGAAGGAGCCCCGTAATGTTTGAGCCTGTGCCTGTGCCTGTGCCTTGTGGATTTGGACCGCCAAGCGCATTGAGATCCATGTGCGTTGCGTTTGAGTCGTTCGACGAAATGACAAGGACGGGATTTTTGCCGAATAGCAAGCACATCGATCGTCTGGGTCTTCTAGGCAAAAAGTCGAGGCCAGGTCGGGAACTCGTTGGCGAGAATGCCACCGAGCAGCACCTTTCTCTGATGTCCCCTTGACTTCCATCTCTTTCTCCCATGTACCGCTTTACTGAATTCAGTCGCTTTTGATTTGTGAATCACTCGACTGCGGCTGTTTTGGATGGTTGTATCCATCTATCTGAATATTACATCAAAACAAATCGGCTTTTTTCATCAAATCATAAATATTTCTTCTTGTCTTCATGGTTACATTCTGATAAGCTCTTCTTCTAACCTCTAGCTGCTACATTCCACAGGATGAAACATCAAGAAAAGCTGTTGAAGTTTACAGAGGAAGATGCTGCAAGAAAATAGGTAACCAGCAATCTTCTCTTGTTACTGCTTAATTGTTTGATCTATAGGCACGCACCGTCCATTACGAAAATAGTTTCGTAATTGTTATTTCATTATTCTATTTGGAGCCATTGCCATAGTCGCAAAGAAACCTTCCATCATGGCACGAGTCCATGTAGTCAGTCTCATGATCAAGTGTACAACAGTTCATGCCATGAATGAGCAATTATAATGCATTTCTCTCCAAACCATTCATGTTGCTTCAGCATTTCTTTGCGATTATGCATTTCTCTCCATAGTCGCAAAGAACACTTGAGCCGACAATTCGAACCTATGACCAGTCTACAATTCTGTCAAAGCATTATGCGATGACTTCCTCCTCTAAACTTTGCCAGTAATTTTGGTGTCATCTTTATGGTCTCCAATCGCTGCCTTTGCAGCTGACTTCTTTCCGGGTAGAACAGAGGTTGTTCAGTGTCGCCATCGATGGCAAAAGGTGTTCTGAGGAAGTAAATAAAAGAACCCTTTCCTTGGCTTCTCCTGAATCCATACATACTCTTATGGGAAGCTGAAATGTTAAGATATTGTACATTTTCTCTTTTGTTTTGATACCTGTCATCGAAATGATTTAGTTCATCACCTGGTATATTATATATTCTCTCGCACAGTTCATATGAATGAAAGGAGGAGTGGAAACACAAAATAATTATTCTTTATGTCTTTTGAAAACATACTAATATTTCTCGGTAAGAAAATGTAGGTTTGTTTTTTGGTATCGGTCCAAACATGTCATGAGATTTTCGATTACAAAAGAACCATTCAGTTCGATCCTATGATCAAAAAGGATGGTCGGAGTACTGAGGAGGGGAAAATGGAGACACTCGAGCACCACCATCATTCGGTTCTTCAACCTTGTAGTAACTTTTGGTTTCAATTCAGTTCCTTTAAGGTCCAAAAGAGTTGCAATCATCTTAAATCTGTGGAGAAGCAACTTGGATTTTAATCCCTGGTAGATCTGATTGCACTAATGCTGACAGAAGCCAGCCAACCAATCATGAATACAACATAACTCGATGAGCATCCAGTTGCACCGTAAGGTACAACAACAACCTTCTTCACCAAAACCTAAGCTAGATTTTACTCCTACACTACTTTTGTGAATCCTTCACCATAGCACTTAATTCACTGAGTCTCTTGTTTTTTCTCTTTTTAGGAAAATTGTTAGTGATAATTGTACCTGTGAAGAAATCTCATCGTCTCTAAGTTCTGTATTTTAGTTTCCATTGTTGAAAGCAGTGAATTCTCCTCCTCCTCCTCCTCCTCCTCCATATTGTATTTGTAACAGTAGTGGTTTGTGATTAGATGGACAGCCGGGGAACCCATTTGACAGAGACCAACGAGGTCTCTGTTGAAGAAGAAGCCATCGACGCGACCGATTCAAGGACGCTTGGAAAGCAACCATCAGAGCCTTGTGAATGCACTTCGCCTGAACATGTCGTGAGGAGACCGGGATAATTTTCTGTGGCCGGAGATCGAATAAGATCATCGGTGAATTGGACCGGAGAAACGATTTAAAAGATCAAATCGAACCGAAGCCTGGGAAAAAAGACATTGCATGAAGAAGACAAATCATATGTGTTCCGTGGGTTTTAAGATCCGGAGACGGAACAAATGCATGTTCCGACTATCCAACGGCGAAGACCACGAAAGGTAAAAAGCACATCAGTAATAGTAAATACATAGCCAGTCGACTTCCGCTCACCGCCCATGCGTCTCCGCCGGCGGCCACTGTCGGTAGCCGACCTGATCAAGGAACCTGCTCAGTCGCACGTGCTTCGCAGCCCACTGCTCTGCCACTTTCTGCTCCTTGGCTTCGGCATCCTTCCTCAACCTTGCGATCTGCTCCCCGTACTCTGCTTCGATCCTCTCCAGTGCCGCCTGCTGCTCCTCCCTGAGCGCCCGCACTTTGGCCTCGATCTCCTCCATCTTCTCCCTCCTCTTGCCGGTCTTCTCCGACTCCAGTTGCAGCTCCAGCCTCTTCATCCTCCATGCTGCCTCCTTCTTCTGCTCCATCCATGCCCGATGCCCTTCCTCGACCTCTCTGCAGCACTCCACCAGCTCCGTCATGATGTGGCCGTCGACGACCACCGAACCGGAGACCCCCAAAGCCATGCCCTTCTGTGACATCGCCAGTCCCAAGCCACCGTCCGCGCCTCCCTCGGATTGCAGCCAGGGTTTAGGCGTAGGAGGGACGGTGGAAGACGAGAGTGTAAGAGTAACCGAGGGCGACGGCGGCCCATGGGATCCGCCATTGTTGGAAAGCCACAGCGGGAGGAATGGCGCGGCCATGAGCAGTGGGACTCCCCGCCGCTCCCTGACCAGCTTCTCCGCGAAGTTCTCGAGAATGCGGTCGTATTTGGCTGGCTCCGCCGGGCTCGTCGCCGCTTTGTTGCTCTCGTTCTGCTGCCTCTGCTGCTTCTCCTTGAAGACCTCCCACCACTTGCCCAGCCGCTTGGGTGTGCGCCCGGGGACCTCCGCCGCGATCTTCTTCCACTTGTTGCCGTGCTTCGCCTGCAGCCGGATCACCAGCCGCTGCTCCTCCTCGGTGAGTGATCCTTTCTTGATTCCCGGCTTGAGGTAGTTCTTCCACCTCTCCAAGCAGGATTTGGCGTCCCTGTTGAGCGCTACGTTCATGCGCTGGGACACGAGGTTCCACTCCCTGGGACCATACTGCTTCACGTATGCGCGCAATATAGCATCCTCTTCGGCCCTCCACCGCTGCCTATCCTTCATTTGCAGAGGCCAAATCCCATCGCCCCGGAGGATACCTCATACCTATCCGAGATCAAAACGCATATAATTCAACAACAGCAATCGACGATCCTACCGAATCTTCTAACTAGTTTGCAGATGCTAGAACCGAAAGAGTTTCCTGTATCACGGATGGCACAAGGCAAAGTAGAAGATCTAAGAAGAGGCAGGACTAATATAATAATTTGTTGGTAATCATTGCCAGCATAGTTAGATCAGAATAATA